TTAAGACTTGACCATTGGGTTGAATCAAACAATCTACTTTCAAATTCGCAATTTGGTTTCCGGAAGAGTAAAGGAACAAACGATTGTCTAGCGATGCTTTCATCTGATATTCAACTGGCCTTTGCGCACAAGGAGCAATTGGCTTCAGCCTTTTTGGATATTAAGGGCGCATTTGATTCGGTTTCCATAGACATACTGTCAGACAATTTGCACAGTAATGGATTACCCGGTATTTTGAATAATTTTTTGTATAATTTGCTGTCAGAAAAACAAATGACCTTCAATCTAGGTCAACTGACAACTTCTAGAATTATCTACATCGGCTTACCCTAAGGTTCATGTTTAAGTCCCTTACTTTATAATTTCTATGTCAAAGATATTGATAGCTGCTTAGATAATCTATGCACGCTTAGACAGCTTGCAGACGATGCCGTGGTTTCCATGAGAGGTCCACGTGCAGAAATCTTGCAAAGACCATTGCAAAATTCCGTAAATAATCTGTCTCTCTGGGCAAGAAATTTAGGGATCGAGTTTTCACCGCAAAAAAACTGAATTGGTAGTGTTTACAAGGAAGCGGTTTCCAGCCCAACTGCGTCTAAATCTTTTGAGCAGAGACATTACCCAATCTTTAACCTTCAAATTTCTTGGAGTCTGGTTTGATTCAAAATGCACTTGGGGTACCCACATTACGTATTTGAAACAAAAGTGTCAACAAAGGATCAACTTTCTACGATCAATTTCCGGGACATGAAACTATATAAACTATATAAAACGACTATTCTTTCTGTTCTTGAGTATGGCTCTTTTTGCTTCCTCTCGGCAAGAAAAAGCCACCTATTCAAATTGGAACGTATTCAATATCGTTGTTTACGTATTGCCCTTGGCTGTATGCATCCAACACACAATATGAGCCTAGAGGTCCCTTCTTCTTCTTCTTCTTCTTCTTCTTCGCATTTCAAGCTTATTGCTTATGGCATATTAGCTTATTGCGTGCCCACAACTTAGTGTTCTAGATGCACTTCCACAGTTATTAATTGAGAGCTTTCGATGCCTGCTACCATTTCTGCATTAGTATAATTGTGTGGCAAGTACAATCATACTCTATGCCCAGGGAGTCGAGAAATTTTCCAACCCGAAAAATTCCTAGACCGGACCGGGAATCAAACCCAGTCACCTCCAGCATGGTCTTGCTTTGTAGCTGCGCCTTTACCGACTGAGCTAAGGGAGGCCCTAGCGGGCGTATAACCCCTGCAGAACCGTTTCTGGGAGCTCTCATTAAGAATATTGATTAAATGTAGTGTCACTAACAACTTTGTGATTGAAAACTTCGAAGAAATGCTCGAATTGAGCATCCAGTCTAGATTCGTGCGAATCTATCTTAATTATATGTCATCGGATATTAGCCTTCCTTGCTATAACCCCTCTCGTGTATGCTTTACTAACTACAGTTCCCTCATTGACTATGATCTCTCCATGAAACAGGCTATTCAAGGAGTTCCAGATCAACTTCGACCTATCTCAATTCCCCGCATTTTTGCTGAAAAGTACCAACAAGTCAATTACAATAGAAGATTTTTCACTGATGGATCACGCATTGATGGATCCACTGGCTTCGGCGTCTTCAATGAATACTCAACCGCCTTTCGGAAACTTCAGGAACCATGTTCCGTTTATGTTGCTGAGACTAGACCATTACTTCATCACCTCGGATAGTCTCAGTTCGATTGAGGCTATTCGGTCAATGAAACAAGGTAGGCACTCATCTGATTTCATTTCAAAGGTAAGGGAGCAGATGAGTTTGCTGGTCGAAAGATCATATATGATTACCTTTGTATGGGTCCCCTCACATTGCTCAATCCCAGGCAATGAGAAGGCAGACTCTCTCGCAAAGGTGGGCGCACAACAAGGCGAGATTTATGATAGAAGAATTTCACATGATGAATTTTTCCCATTAGTACGCCAGAGTTCTCTTTTAAGTTGACAAAACGATTGGACAAGTAATTCTCTTGGGCGGTGGTTACATTCCATTATTCTAAATGTTTCTTCGAGAGCGTGGTTCGAAGGTCTGGATGTAAGTCGGGGATTCATTCGAGTGATGTCAAGACTTATGTCCAACCACTACTCGCTAGACGCACATCTCTATAGAATAAACCTCGTTGACAGCAATATATGTAGGTGCAGAACCGGTTATGATGACATCGATCACGCAGTTTGGTATTGCCCGGGTAATGACGCCTCCAGAGCACGACTATTGGATACCCTAGTGGCCCGAGGTAGACAACCCTTCCGTGAAATAAGAGATGTAGTGGGAACACGTGTTCTTTCCTACATGCTAGCGATCTACGAATTCCTTTGTTTGTCTAATGTTAGAGTTTGATGTGACTATCCCCTTCTTTCCAAACAATTTCCCGCCATTGTGTCCCAGTCTTATTATCCTCCTGTTCCTGTGCTACTTGCCCCTGCCCAGCCAGGATTTGGTCAACCGTCCGAGAGTATTATCTGAAGGATGCTTCAGAAACCAGTTTCCTACCTAGATTCTTCCATTCGAAATTGTTACCCACTAACCTCGAGCCCGCCACGAGTAATTGGTACCCAATACTAACCTAGAAATACTGCTATTTAACATGTAAATCAAACATTACTGATTTTGGCTCCGCAAAGTGTCACACACGACTGAGCCTAGTAAATAAACGAACTAGTTAAAAAAAATATCAAATTCCTATGAATATTAATTAAAATATCCTAAGAATCATATTCAAGGTTTTCTTAGAATTCTGCTCAAAACTTTCAAATTCTCCTATTCCCTCACAAACCGGTTAGAATTCTCTTAAATTCGGAACAAATCCTTGATTGTACACACTTTCAGAGCTTTTTTTCCGTTGCTTGGAATAACCTCACTCCACTTTCAGACCTTTAAGATCAAAATTCCCTAAACGGAAATTGGAAAATAAAGATTCCGGGAAAGCAGTTCTTCTGTTCTTTCTAAAATTACATGAAAGATTGAGTCATGTTTCAAAGACGTTTAAGAAACAAGTTTTGGAAAATCAAATTACAATAAAATTGTGGTGTATAAAAGAACGAAATGAAATAAAAAGAAGGCGTTACCATATAATGTTAGTTAACTCTTAATTTAAAACATTAATTGCTTTGTACCGATTATGCTCAACATACCAAACCCTTTATTAATGCTATCAACAGTTAAAACTCAGATGGCCTTGGACCTTTAGTCGCATACCTTTTTCATTTTTAGATCATTTTTAGAAGACATATTGTTAAAATTAACAGATGACAATGGATAAGCCTTTTAAACCTCTAGTTGATGCAAAAACCTTACTTAAAGGGCCGAATGCAATTGAAGGGTACGAATACCATATCAAAACAAGGGACCTCTTAGAGCAAGACTGATTATTCATTCTAGCTCAAATCATTCTGTCCTAATTCACGACGAAAACTGGACTAGAATGATTTCATTGCAGAAATCCAATAAGTAGGATTTTAATTAATTAAGGAGAGTATCGAGTATTAGTATTGTCGCTAGACTTGAAAACCGAAATGACCAACTCGCGACAATCAATTTTACTCTTATTGTGTACGTTAAAGATAACGTCGCATCTAGTGCGAACTATAGCGCATCATTTGACAAATACAGCGCACTAGATGCGACGTTATGTTTAACGTACATAACGAGAGTAAAATCGACTGTCGCGAGTTGGTCATTTCGCTTTTCAAGTCTAGCGACAATACAAGACACTGAAGAAGTCTGCACATTGTAGACGAAATACGCGTATCTGTCAAGGATAAGCAAATAAGGTAGTGAAATTAAATGGAAATTACTAATCCTTCTCTCTCTCATTATAAAGGAGAAATAGTTTTTTTTCTTCTTGTGATAACTGTTTGTATTATTACGTATTGATACTTTATTAGAGTTTCAATTAATACTCAAGAATTAGACAAACTGCAGTATTATATATTGATAATAAAATAAGTCTCTATAATAAAGCAAAAGAAGAAAAAAAGAAGTTGTAGAATGATAAATTTTTCGGGAAAAAGCTAAATTCGAGGGAAAGGTCTATTCAGTGTTTTCGGGGGGAAATCGTACAATCCATACATAATATCCCATGAAAACTTAGTGCTTGTATTCTGATGTCAAGGTAGTTCTATTTTATTAACCCAAGTAACAATGCAAGCTTTATAGAGGTTTTATAGCATTCTACAAGTCTAAATCATGGTCTACAGAACTCTCATAATACCAAAATTGTGATATCATTTTAGTACAATTTTATTCATCATTATGAACATTAACCTGAATGAATGAGAAATACCTATACAAAATTCAGCTTAAAACATGTTCATCGAACATAGATACCGCCACTTAAAAAGTAAGTTTATGTTACGTTCCGAATATACTTGATATTACGTAATATAGGCTATCTTGCTATCAAATGTCATATATATGTATTTCAGTAAAATTTGTCGTACTGTTAAAAATATTGGGCAGGCCTGGTCTAGTCTCACTAGTCTATATCACGTAATGTAGTGTGAACGGGGTCGTATGGGACCCTAAAATAATATGCTTGGTGTATACCCGCCGTGTAACGTGGATCTGCGCTGCTGTGCTGAGCTGAGGTTGAAATTTTGTTGCTCATTTTTCTTCATATTCTACACACATATTTTTAGGATCGAATAATCCATCAAAAGGCGAAGCAACAAGAACAACTTTTTAATGATAATATGTACTCGCTATCCCTCTCCCTCTGCTCTTCTACGATTATTTCGAACTTTTGCTTCTTGTGTGATTCTTCGAGTCTATACAGATGGGTAAAAGAACTGAAAACGATTTAGAGCCATTTCCTTCGTGGTCCGGTCGGACAGAAGCAACCAAACTCGCGGAACAATTATATTATTTCTCAAACCCTTGCACTCGGCTAGGTACCGTTCGCTCTCTCACACACACGCTCCCCGAATATTCCCGGGACCCGCAATGATTTTCTATGGCCTACCTTGGACGTGACATCCGAAACTTCCCGCATGATTCGCTCGAACTCTGCGGTCTCCTCTGCCTGTTTTTGGTTGTGCAAGGCAATTTTCTCGCTGAATTTTCGCGGATTCGCCATTGTTGTTGCTTCCAGGTATTATTATTCCAGTTAATTTTCTTCTCCTCAGGGACTTCCGTTGATTCCGAATCCAAAGCACTTTAGCACAAGTATTTTTTTTTTTTCGTAGGAATAAGTATCCACTCACCGATAAACACTAACTATAGGATAACATTTACTAAAACCCAATAGGATATATTATAGCCTTCTATTTTGATCCAAAATCAATGGATAGTAGGGAAAACTACTCGCTCGCTCTCCCACTCCCACCACCCTAATTTAGGTTTCTGTTTTTCTCAGATTTTTCTTTCCGTGAAATTTACTGCCAACTAGAAAAGCACTTCTCTTCGCAAAGACACATTTTTTCCTCCTTCTCCGTAACAACGAAAATCACTCCTCATTGAAGAAAGATAAAGCAGACACAAGTTGCAAAAATCTGCAGCGTTTTCCTCAAAAAAGCAGAAAAATCCTCCCACCGATCGGCCACGACCACGGCACAGAAGAGCGGACGATGAATGGACAAGGAAAAAATAACTCCACAGAAAATTTTCTACTCAGCCATCCGTCAGCCTGGTGCTGCTGGCTGGTTTTCTTCTCGTCTTCCGCTTGACCTCCGCGGGATATTACGAATCTAGGGACACGAAATCCGACGGGCAATCGATTCCCTTCACCGTTATCGGAAAAATCTTTTAAGAAAATCGCGTGGAAAACTGTTCACGATTCGGAAATTTTTGCTAGCCTGTGAAAAAAGTTTTCTTCGATCTTCCCTTCGTTATTTACGTATCTGTATAATAATTTTTTCTCCTTCGCTCTGCTGACTTGTGTGACTGAATCGTTTTTAATGCGAGCAAACTCCCGTGTAACCACTACCAATGCATCCGAAATGGAAAATGTTTCACCAACACAATCCCCGTCGCGAACTTTTACGGGACCAAGATCTTTCCAGTTCAGAAGGTTCTCTTATATACATAAATCTCCCGAAAAGCGCGATGGGTATCACGAAACGAAAATCAATTATTTTATTCATGTGTTTCATTTATACATTTTTGCCAAAACATCAGCCTAATACATTCCATAAGACAAACCACATAGGTCCTATAAGAATACATAAAAGGTATGTGTGACCGTATATACATTTCATTTGACACATTATCTTCATTAACTTTATGCAAGGCGTCTGCTTATTAGTTGACTTATACATTTTATGAATAATCAGTAATAGTACGTTCAGACTACAGAGTTATAACATGTTATAGCGCTAGCTTGATGGTGGTTTCTGTGTTGCAATTATTTGACAACCGTTATAACATGTTATAACTATCCAGTCTGTACAGCGTTTAATAGAAATTTGCCAAAAGGTATAAGAAGATTTCTATCCGTGTATACAACCGTACCACATAAAATTAGGATGATATCCCTCGATTTGCCTTCCCTAATAAAAAAAATTGTATGGTTAATTTGCTTATACCCCGTTCACATTACAGCGTATATCACGTGATATACGCTGTCTTGCAATGAGCACTCATACATCTAGTTTTCACTGGAAATCCTATGTATGAGTGCTCATTGCAAGACAGCCTATATTACGTGATATAGGCTGTAATGTGAACGAGGTATTAACAACGTATTTTGGGTTTCTCATGACAGATACGGTATTTGAGGATGCTGCAAAGGAGCATCTCGGCGCGGTCCAATGCAATGTAAACATTATGATTTTGTCGTCTCTTTCATTCTCCTGCTGTTTGAATGGTTGATGGAGTGTATCGTCTAACTTTGTTTACCATTTAAACCTCGATTTAAACAGTGGAAAAACGAAAGAAGCGAGACATTCACATTGCCTCCCCTGTTTACATCACAATAGTGGTCGTATGGGGGAAGAAACAAAAGGATTTTTCAGTTTCAATTAATTGAGATAAATAATTATTTAACAATTAAAAGGAAGCAAGACAAAGGAAAACAAAAAGATGATGACGATGACGGATAGGAGAAATGACATTTACATAAGGTCCGGGCCAACAAGGCTGGTGTTAGAAGCAACAAATATTGTAAACATTGCTTAGCCTCTCAAGTTACGACGTCACTCTACCATAACATTCCATACTGCGAACAGTGAGATTTACGTCACTGCCAACAGCTGTTTCGTGTAAAATCTAAACATGGCAATGAAATACGAACACCACTAAACATTTGCACAGCATAAAGAGGGGGACGAAAAGGAATTGAAAGCAGTATAGTAAAGTTTCTTGCGGAGGTGAAAATAACGGTATAAAGCTGAGCAGTAAGGACCATAATACACAACACCACCATGGAAAGCAACAACTACACGAACAAAATAAAGAGAATACCTAATAGCGAGATGGACCGTTACACCATAGAGGTAACTCTAAGACTAGTAGGTCCCGAAGAAAATCATTATTATTTTTGGCTCACTCAGTACCAGAACAACGGTCCCAAGCAGTCCCAAGCTATTTCACTCACCCCTGCATGTTCTGCATGAATCCACACACCCCTGATGTTATCTGTCAAACTTTCATAGCGAATCAAAACAAACATAGTGTAGTAATAGAATTTCAACTAGAATAGGGTACGTTAATCGTTTGCTTGGGACCAATAGGCTACTAAAGTGGTGAGCCAATTTAAAATCGTTAGTTTCGTATTGATTGTTGGTTACACGGTCTTAGCCAGGAAAGGAGCAGTAGACAAAAAAAAACATTTGTACATTCAACTAACACAAATAAGCCCGTTGGCCCGGACCTTAAACAAAGGACATTGTGTTAGGAGGTGTTCCAAGTCGAAGTGGTTGCGAACTCTAATAAATAACATTTCTTAAAACAACGAACGATGACCTAAAATTGAATAGTCGATCTTTTCCACAAATTAAGATAAACATTGCATTAGGTCCTAAGTAACATTGATTGATTCTCTTCGTTGAATTTCTTTTTCGTGAATAACTTGAGCATATCGATAGTGAGTATGCATAAGGGCGTATACGCGATGATCGATTCTTGCAATGCTACAGCTAAGCCGAACAGTTTTCAAGAATTTGTTCAATGCAGAGTTGTAACAGGTTGTATTGGCTATCAAAAGCAACAGCAAACGCACCGAGAAACGTTAATTCTACTTCTTCAACCATTTATTGTTGTGTTTGACATATTAGATGCTATAAAAGGCTTCTTTTATCGATCTGCGTACTGAAAATACCTGGGAATGTATTTACATGGCCGTGGGGATACAAAGAGAAAGTCGACGAAGAGAATCTGTCAATGTTACTTAGGACCTAATGCAATGTTCAGCTTGAATCGACATCAGACTCAGTCGACATATTTGTGCAAACCCTTTCAGACACCCTGCGGAAAATAAGCATGCTCGCGCGTGATGGTTCGCTCAAAATGTCAAAAAATAAAATAATAAGAACATCACCATCAGCAGCAAGCAGTCGGAATTTCATGCTGATTCAAATTTAAAAAGAAAATAAATCTATTTTTTTTCAATTGTTAGCATGAATATGTTGTGAAAGTTATCAGAAAGAGTACTGTATTGAAATAATTTATTGTTAACTTGGAAAAGTGGTTCAATCAGTGTTTCTCTCGTACTTTTTAAGTGAGATGTAGTTCATTTTGTCAAGTGGATTGCGTGTGATTTTTTACACTTGCTAGCGAAAATTCTTAACTAATCTAACAATCATGGCAATGCGAAGGCCGCGTATTAAGGTGGCTGCGAATCTATCGATTCGTCGGCCAACGAAAGCAGCCGCCTCCAGTGGAGAATTTAAGCCTGTAGACAGCACTGCATCACCAACCCCCAGTGACAGAGAAAAACAGGAACAGCAAGTGGTGAAACCGGAGACGGTGGAAACCGGCGAAAAGATTCATGCCGAAACGCTGGAGACGGAGAAAAAGCAACCTGGCTTGAAGCCCGTTTCTACTCCTAGTCCAGTAGCGACACAGTCTGCATTCAAGTTTCCAAGTAGGTTTATTTTATGATTTATTCATTTGAATTCTATGGGAACGTTTATCATATTTCTAGAACCCGTAGAAGAACTTCCTAGGCATACGACACCAGCACCTGTGCCTCATTATCCATTGGAAGTCAACACCGATGAACCACATTCACCAAAGAAACTGGATTCCAAGTTTGCCTATATCAATGCCCTGAATAGCCCTCGGAAGCGGATACGAACTGAATCGATGACTTCCAACAAATCCTACTCGGATGTCAGTTTAAAGTCTCGCAAAACCATCAAACAGGAAGAATCACAGAAAGCATCGGACGCAAAACGGGATCTTCGGAAACGTTTGAACAACATTCAGAACATCGACAAACAATCACTAACTATGTTCGACATGATCTACTACAATCCGGTTAAGAATCCGATGAAGAGTCCGGCACTCAGCAAGAAAGGTTCGTTGGAAAACATTCCGCGCATGGTTGATCGGGAATCGCGAAGCGTGAGTAAATCTCGTTCACCGACTCCGGCTCCGATGATGCCACCACCGGAAGCCCCGAGTGCACCGTCAACGCAGCCGACACCGCAAATCAAGCTGGGACCCAACGGGGAAATGATCTTGGACGAAGCTAGTTTGGTGATTGAAAACGAACGCGAGAAAGCTCTGAGGGATAGCATGGCAAAAGCGGAGATTGTGTATGTTGACGAATTCAGCGGAAGTATGTCGATTGAGTGGGTCTTTTGTATCTATAGAATGATTTCTAAACGTACGATTCCACTTCAGATTCCGGCTACTACAGCCGCTACAAAAGGACTAGGGATTGGCCCCCTGAGGAGACAATACGTTTCTATAGGTGTTTGCATACGATTGGGACTGACTTTTCGATGATGATACAGCTCTTTCCAAATCGCAGTCGGAGGGATTTGAAGTTGAAGGTGAGTCCTTTAGGATAGCAAAACTGGGTGGTTTGTAAAAAAATACGGTAGGAACGTAAACAAGAATATTGGTGAATGTACTTTAAATTTGTTCACGCCAATTACTTAGTTCAGTTGTGCTCAGGTGAAGGCATATTGTGAGCCACACTTGAGTACCAACAATTTAAAAAGGCAAAACTGACAAATGTAAACAAACTGAGTTTTTTTTATAGAAATGGACAGCAAGTGATCCAACACTATGAGCAATTTCATAAAATTTCACGCCCCTCCAAATTAACAATGCTAGATAGTAGAGGAAACATTCCTCTACCTGTTGGTGTCATATATTATTGTTAGGTAGGAGAAAGAGGGCAAAATGGCCACCCTAACCAAATTCGAAATGGCAATCATTGGCGGTCCATACAAATTTTAAATTTTTTGTATTGACAACTGTCTACGCAGGGGGAGGAGGGGGGGGGGGTCAAAAATCCCAATAAACTGTCTACGTAGTTAATGAACAGCCCCTAAGCAATGTGCACAACTTTTTGTCTGATTGTAATTAAATTGAATTTTTCACATGTAGGGTAGAGCGCTACTTCGTCGTAATCGTCAAGTTCCGTTCTATCGATCAGAAAAGATCAATAATATCAATGATTTCACCATGCACAAATCAATAATAGGTTTGTTCCGATGCGTTAGTTCATAAGCTACAACATAAATCATGTTAGAGCGCATTGTATGAATATTTACGCTCATTGTTCTCAAAACAAAAGAAGCGCTCCTAGCGAATCCACTTTTTCTACGTTTATCTGTAGGACGAAGAAAATCTAAAGGCGTTTCAATACGTTTGGACGGAATTGAAACTCGTAGAACGAATTTAGAATCAAGAAGCAGTATTAGATTTTAAACAATATCTCAACAAATTGTGTGCTTGTCATAAAATCAGGCCGTCAATTCGTCTATAAAACTGTTTTATGACTACTAAATTAAAACTCAGACTTCATAGTTTTAACGGTAGCTTTTTTATCTTTATCTTTAAAGATATAGATAGATAGCTGTAAGGTGGTTGTGTATCGCTATTTATAACTGCAGAATAAAACCAAAACAAAACATACAATAATGTTGTATGGCATACTTTTCATAAATCTTGAAGCAGTCTAAGACCTTCATTAAAGCCTCATTACAACTATCATCTTTATCAGAGGCCTAAGATGCACATACTACAACAATAACAAAAAATACTCTGAAAATTGTTACCAATATAAAAAAAAAAAAACAAATCTATTCAGATACATGAAATAAAACCCCTTCAGTGCTTTTGAACACGATTAAGATGAGCTGATCGCCAATATGAAACTCCTGGAGGATCTACAGCTATGGGCTCCCTCATATAACACAAGGAGCTCTTAAAAATATTGAACAAGCGGCTTTCCGATACACTTCCGAAAGATCCACGAACCCTTAAAACAACGCAGACAGTTTCACTAAATCTGGCCAGTATTGGAAATGGCCAGTACTGGCATCACGGCTTTAAACCTTGTATTGAAAAAGCTTTTTGTTTTGTTTTGACTCGCTGTACCTAATAAAACCAGCAAGCTAGTTATAGAGCTTAACTATAACTTAACGCCCTCAATTTGGACTACGAAATGCTAAGATACAACCATTAGGTTTATGTTATGCTATAGAATTCCAATCTAGGAGAATATGTTATATTGAGGTATTTTTAAGGAGTAGCAAGTTGTAATGAAAAAAAATTCGCCTTAGGAACAAATTTCACACAGTATGAATAATTACGCTTTAATTGATAGGCGATAAAACACTTTCATACATCTATGTATAATTAAATAATATGTGACTGGTTATTGCTCAACAGTAGTAACAGTTTTGTACTAAATAGATAATCTTTTAATTACTCTTTAATGCATGGTGCTAATGCAGATAAATAAAAAATATCCCTATATTTTAGTATTCCTATGGCGCACTGAATTTATGCTCCTATTTGGTATAATAATCACCATAAATATTGCATGGCATATACTGCCGTTCTACGCATAACTGTTCCATGTTCTATGCAATCCTTAGCACCGTGGGACTCTTATGCGTATAAGGGCGACAGATTGGTTAAAAATTGTAATAAAGTCGTCTTATTTTCGATAAACAATAATATCAGCTATTATTACCAACTGACAAGGATCATGATTTCACATCAAACATCGAAAGAATTAAACCACAATAAAATATTTCCCAATATTAACTATCATCCAAAAAACCAATTTAAAACCTTCAAGGCCGTTAAAATGTTTTGCATATCATGTTTTATCAACTTCTTCAGGAGCGATTTATGCGGTTGTAATATTGTAGTTTTATGGTAGTCATCAAAAGGCTGTTAAAACTTCATGACCAGGAGGGGATTTTATGCTTTCATTTTTAACAACCACGTGTAGAGTATGATAAAACAGACATAAAACCTATGCTCCTGAGGTAGTTCGCATATCAAGTTTTAATGATTTTAATGAGCCAATTGGCCATGACATGGCTGTATAGCGGTTGTCAGGAGGTTGTTAAAGCAATGTGGTCGTCAGTGAAGGTTTTATAATTTGGTTATATCAACTGCTATAAAACTTCAATAAAACAAAAATTGTTGCTTGGGTTATGCAAGTGACAACCCATTTGCAATGTTACTTTCAAAACAGTATGCTTCTTCTTCTTTGGCTTTATTGCGTCCTCACTGGGAATTTACATCAGCTCTTAACTTAGTGTTCTTTGAGCATTCCCTCAGTTGTTAACTAAGAGATTTCTCTACCTGTACCATTTGTGCATTAGTATTATTGTGTGGAAATTGCTGTATTTTAGTACTGCACGCCCAGGAAAGTCGAGAAATTTTTAGACCGGTACGCTTTATACATTCTTAGACCGGTACGCTTTATAGCTGCGCCTTTACCGAGTGTGCTAAGAGTGGCCCAGACCAGTGCAGTAAATTCTCAAAATCAATTGATCATTTTTGATGAAAATGAAAAGCAGCTATTCGCTTTCAAAAGTTACCTCCTTCGAATGGGTGATATCAGTTGCTTAGTCATTTGACGAAGGCATAGATCATTCTCATTTGAGATACGCTTGATATCATTCAACAGAGTGTAACCTACACAAAAACCGAGCCCTGGTCGGCATTCCGGCGAAAAAGCTAAGCCAACCCGACACCAACCTGACTTCTACCAAACCCCAACCCGATGTTGACCCGACATAAACCCAAAATTGACCCGACAACAATACGACATTGGGTTGACATCGACCTTAAATTTGCCTTACATCGAATCGCATCACGACATCGGGTCGACTTTTCTGTACGGGACCATTTTGCTGGGTTTCTTCCATACTCCGCTGTCGTATATCAAATGATAGTGAGTGACTCAATTGACAGTGACGATGAGCTTCGAATAAGAAAGGGGCTCTTCAAATTATGGTCATGTGAGAAATCTTTTCACAGAATTGGTTGAATGGTTGTATTGGTTCATCTTCAATCGAATGATATGGAAATTAACAGCACTGGCCCAGACTTTCAAAACATATCAGCACTAAGTAATTACTTCAGAGTAGTACTTACTAATTTACTACGCGTACCTCTGGGAGTGCACCTTTATTAGTTCCGGGGTACGTGGAAAAAATTAAATTTGTTTCTGGATTTTTTTTATCTAAATATTATATTCATTTCTCTGAATTTAAAATACAGTCACATTTATGCTATACTTATCTGCTCAGGTGAGTTAAAGTTTAATAAATTTATGTTTTCGAGCAGACATATTTTTATCTCAAGATTTATAAAGGCTTTCGTGGTTTTCCTTCTAGAAATCCTTGATAATTAATGGAAAAATGTTCTAATGTTCATTTTTTTATCATCATGTTCATAGAAATGAGACGCAAAATGTATTTATTATTCGTAGTACTAGTCTTTACTTGATTAACGACAAATAAACAATAGCAAAATCAACGCAATGAAAAACATGGTGATTTAACAATGTTCAAGTCGTTATCAACAATAAAGAAAAATAAGAAGACACCATACAGTCTGCGTCTGCCGTGAAGATCTATTTGCTTTTTTACTGAAGGAAGTGTTACTTCTACCTAAACTACAACCAATTTAAACAGTACTTTCAGTATTCAATACTACACGCTTAGTTCAGTTCACCCATAAATAGGTAGTAGATTCACCCATATTTGGGTTTCTGATACAATACCTACAATATGGGTAAATAATACTGACAAAAATCGGTGAAATTTACTTACATTGTGAGTAAAACGACTTAACCCAAATATGGGTTATTAAACTTTACCCATATTTGGATGAAAAACTAAACATTTTCAAAACCGTCAACTTTCGCTTCATGTGCGATGCAATATTAATAATTAATTATTATCCGTCGTGTTTGCTGCTTACAAAGTGCCGTAATTCGTAAGTAGCTTGGTGGAAATTCTACATTATTTGGAGAAACAAACTTACCTCGTCGTGTCATCCACCGTTTCCATTGCTGGCTGGTTAGTAATTTTAAGGAAGTAATAGTAATTATTTTCAATTTTCCCTTCTTGGTTCTGTGCTGCTCCGTAAGACTCCCTTTGATAGATAAGTATTTTGCATGATAGTTGATTGACTGCTATTTACATTATTTTTCCACTTTTTAAAGATCTGAGCCTTTTACTGAATTGCATACAATCATGAGCAACAAACAAATGTCATCACTACATCGATTATGCTACTATATGTGGCCATTAAACGATCCTCTGGAATTCCGGAATCACGTGAAAAATGGTCACTTCCCTATACTGGGTCTATAGATCCACGATTTGCCAAATGAAAAAAAAAACACAAAAAAATGTAAACAAGAAGCAAAGAGGAGCAACTGGTATTTTCAACGTATTTTTCATAGGAATAGTAAAAAAAATCTTGCGACTACTAAAGTTTGCGGTAGCTATTTTTAACTTTTGTTTTTAAAAAATAGAAGAAAAAAAAACTATGATAAAAATATATT